GCAGTAGCCGGGTGACAGGCGGAAGCGCCAGGTGCGGCGGACGGGTCGCGCCGGGTCAGTGCCGCACGCCATTTACATGGGACGCTGCGGGTCAGGAAGGGGGTCACGGCAGGACAGAGGGGCGGGGTATGAGGGCAGAGGGCGGGTCAGCTCCGAGCGGGAGCGGCCGCCTGTCCGCCTTTCGCTGCCGAGTGCCGCCGCGTCACTTTCGTCTACACACGGTACGGGTGCGCCGCTTTCACCGCCCCTGTGTTCCGGACTGGTCGAGGCCATCGGCGTGTCCGTGTGCGTGTGATGGGTTCCTGTGTGCGTGGGGCTCTACCGACGGCCCAGCGTTCGACGCACTTTGGTGGCCTTTCGGCACAGGCCAGAGAGAGGAGGGGCGTGGAAGGAGGGTGCTTGGTGACGGCACAGTGAGGAGATTCGATAACGATGCTTTGCTGCTGAACGATGTTCGGCATGGGCGGTATGTTCTAACTGAAACTTTCGACGCTGGAATGGCAAGAGCGCCAGCAACGCTGCATTGTCTTTGGCGCTGCTCACAAAAGTGAAACGCCCCACGAGTGGCAACGCATCTCCCCAGTCCGAATTCCATGTCCGCTTCACAGTGCCACTGGCGTCAGACCTTCAGATGGTGAGCCTTCAGATGGCCTTACATAAGTCAGCCGGTCGCCGTCCGACGTTTCCATATTCGGCCGCCTCTCAGACGGGACCCGCTCTCTCTATCTCTCGACACCTCCGAGAGGCGTAGCGCCGGTCCTTTTCGGCCACTTCTGTCGGAGGACCCGTGACTACAGACAGGGTGGAACCAGCCGATGACGTCAGTCGTGTGGAGCCACCGAGTCAGCCTCTCTCTCTCTCCCCGGACCCGGGACGCGTCCTCCTCCGTATCCGCGTGGCAACCGATCACGGCGTTCGCCGACAGCATATCGGCGAGAGGCCGCCGAAAGGACCCGAGATTGGCTGGTCTTTCATTCAACCAACTGAAGCAGCAGGCGGATTACGCAGCGTACGCGCGCTGGCTCGGCCTTGGTGCAGGTCGCTCAGTGCAGTCTTTCTGTGCTGTAGCCGGATTGAGTTGCAGTCAGCGGGGCTGTGCCAAACTCAGTCAGTGGGAACGCGCCCGATGGCCGCGCCGATACAGATGGCGTGCTGTAGGTACCGTGTCTCGGTCCGTCTCTGTTCGACGCGACAAACAACTAACATACAGCCATTTAGAGCCGGCGCGATCCGATTTCAACTGGCCATGAATCCGCGGATGGTTATAAGTGGCATGACTTATCGTGTCCTTCAATAAATGCCACAAACATGCGCCATTGACCGCAAATGCATGGTACCCGCCGAACATTGCTGCCCCCAGTCCTTGTTACTACCTGCCAGTTGGTGCGATTTTGGTTTGAAATGATTTTCCACTTGATGTGCATGTTACATGATTTTTGTTTTTGTTTTTGGTAAGATGCTGTAACTTTGTAATTTCCAAAATCATATTCAGTAACCTGAATCGCTTCTTTTGCTGGACAGCGCTGCTAGTGCCGGGCAGTGACCAGTGTCGACTGTTTAGTCAGGCACCCCGTTTTTGTTGTACATAATAAAACAATTGGCAAATATGCCGTGTCGTGCTGCGCTTCTGTGTGCTGCTCGTTGACAATATGTCGCGGCCCTCACGCGATGCTCAGCAATGCACCTGCCTGAGATTTATGACATCACTCCGTATTGTGCTCAAGAGCAAGAAGTTATTGCCCAAGAACAGGGGTATTTGTCAGTAGGGCTAACGCTGGTAATGATGGGGTAATGATGTTGATGATCTCATGTAGTAATTAGCAGCCATTCCCAGGATTGCTAGCGAATATGTCTGTCCTCTACCGATGGTTATGATTAATACGTTGCTGCATTTACACGTCGAAATGCCTCAAATAAACTGATTCTTATCTACCGTATACCAAAATGTTCCCGGTATTAGAAACGCGAATATAACAATGTGACATACGACCAAGGCCGATCATTGTGTGCAGCTCACAACGCTGAGCTATGCAGCTAAAGGTTTGCATTTACCCAGCAAGCAGGTGTGCTGAGGCGGCGGTAATCAAAGGAATGTTGACCGGGTGTGTCGCATCTGGTGGAGGACCGATAGGAACGCCATGTCTAGTGAAATGCATGGCTACCTATCGCCACATCTAATGGAAGGTCGCGTACCCTCGGCCACGTCTGTTGAGGAGGGTGGCCACTCGCAATAGAGATAGCCTCAGTCTGGTATGTCCGGCAGGGACATTCTGTCGCGAGCCAGCCGAGACAACACGGTCAAAACATCAGACAAGCATGACCGCTGAACTGCAGGCCTGGAACATGTCTTGATAACCATCACTCCCGGCGGTGCCGGCTATTTTCCGAGAATATCAGGGTAACCACATTTCTGAGAAAACTCGTTTGTGGTAAATCCTCTTATGTCATGGGTACCGGTAATTTGGTGACATTGAAAGGAGCTGGGCAGTTGCTATCGTACCAAATCAACCGATATATAGGCCCTACAGTTTATCGTGCAGGTATTGAGGAGGTTTTTCTATAGTTCGGTGACTTTACAATTCACATGACCGGGCTTAGAAGTGGGTAGCGTCACTGCATGCCTCATCGCTGCGCCAAAATCGAGCGTCGAACAGCCTTCCGTGCCGTCTACCTTGGTATCCAGGCGGACGGACGGTGTGTTGAACGGACATGGTCGGACGGACGGACGAACGGCTCCAAAGATGAGAGCGAGTCTCTCGCTGACGAGCCGTCGCAAAAACGTCGCCCGCTCCGGGCCGGAGGCGCGGGGCGGGGCTCGGCTGGCGGCGGGGAGGGGAGGGGAGGTGAGGCCACCCAGCAGTCGCCGCCGCCGCCGCGCCGGCTGTGACGCACAAAAACCGGCCGGCACGCCGCCGGCGGCGCCGAGCCTCCGTCCGACACGGGAGGCTACCGGGCCGCCGCCGAGTCCGCCGAGCCGCCACCGAGACTCCGCCGCCGCTGAGTGCGGCACGGCCGGCCGGTCAGCCGCGCGCCTCGAGCAGCTGATCAGTTGTGGGTAATGTTTGGTGCTCCGGCGTCCGGCTTGGGTGAGTCCAGTTTAGCAAGATTTTCTCGTTAGGCTAATTGAAGTTGGAAAAATAGGTCCTGGGGATACACTTGCAGGAGGTAGCGCAATATCAATAATACATGACCGAGTTTTTTTTAAAGCAGCTGTAAAAGCGACCCTCATGCTCTATGTTTTAGGGCCTTGCTCATGCTCAAATAAAAAGCGGCATTCTTGCACCGAACGTTACACAAGAAAGAACCCATGCCATCCTGCGGGACAGCGAGCAGTCACGACTCGAGGAATAGTCATGGCCGATAAATTTGCGACACCCCATCTGGAGTAAACTGCAGGACTGTGTTTTCTTTGGAGGTAGTATTTTCATACCGCTGTGCATCCCTGGGTGCTCCGGCGGCCTGCACAGCAGATGTGTTTGACAGACAAATGTGCCGTACGCACCAGGGAGTCTGAGGTCACCCACGCCGAGCTGGCAGCTCTGGCAGCGTGCTGCCGGGGGCGGCGGGGTGTTGGCAGGGGCGCCGGAGCCGGTGCTAGCCCGATCTGTTCCGCAGGTCATCCAAGGTCAGTGTCAGGGAGACGCCCGCGGGAACAGGGGGAAGATGAAGAAATATCGCCACCGTGCTGGTCGCAGATTTAACGTTGCTCAATGCCTACAATAAATATTGCATGAAAAGGGAGCGAATTGGTAGTCAAGCCTAATGTATCAAAATATCTATCATTCCGCATTTTTTTTTTTTTTTACTATTATATGATTTTCTTTTGCTGATTGCGATTAAGTGACGTGCTCACTGTTCATTCCTTTCTTATGCATATTGCACATAAAAAGTTTGCATGTCAGAATGGCTAATCGTAAACTTCTGAAGCTAATGTCAATTTGGGGCTCCTATAAATGTTGAGATTGTGAGAGAACCATAAATTAGGCTTATTAGTTCAGACGTAAATCAAAGTTTTTCTGTGCCTTTCATTGCGAGTTTACTTCAGTCCGTACAGTTAGCGGAAAAGAGAATGATGCTTAAATATTTACTTTTTAGATAAAGAGCATCGGTTAAAACACACAATTACGATAATAACCACAAAAAAGTCCAATTACAGTTTCCGATTCGCCGCTGCAGTCGGCGGCGGAAACGCAAAAAAAAAACCTGTACCGCTATTAGGCTCGTGAACCATGAAGCGGGCCGGCACGATAGCGCGGGCGTGTTTCCGCTGTGTCGGTGACACAACTGCGGGTCCCGGCGCCATTCACACGGCAGACCGGGCCGTGTGTCGTGCGCTCGAGCCGGTCGTCTCTCCTTCCGCGCCGGAGACGGCAGCGGTACGTGCCGAACTGGCGTGCCGCGGACCGGCACGCGACCGGCAACAAGGTCACGGTGGGTTCTGAAACACTGCCACCGGTGGACGGTGTGGTGTAGGTGCCACGGAAACAAACGCCCATTGTGGCCAACAGAGGAACAAGGGCGCTTTTTCAGTGAGGTGTTATTTTTGCCGGTAGATATGGAGTTGATAAGGCCGGCCTGTTTGTGTTCGTTGATATTCGTAGAGACGCGTATTTGAGCTACCGTGGGATGTGTAAAAGCGTAGTGCATCGTTAATGTCATCGATTCTTTGAGGCACACGCAGCGACGCAGGCCTTCCACTGTAGCTATAAATACACAGGGTACCGACGACGACGCACGCGCCACAACACGACCAAACGGCTGCCGCACGCACGGTGACAGGGAGGGACGGAGGCGGTGAGGAGCGCCCGCGGGTCTGCGGTTCCCGGAGCACTCGGACCCCCGCGGCGGTCGTAATGCCGCCGGGCAGGGACGACTCTGTCTGTCGCGTCGGTGGCGGTGGGGAGAGGCGAGTGCCGGCAGCGACAGACGGGGGCGGCCGCCGGCTGTGGCGTTCCCGCTACAACCGACGACCGCGCTCGGCACGACCAGGCATGACTCACCTCTGCCCGAAGCGTGCCCGCCTCTGTCGTCTGTGTCGCCTCCCACAGTAGCGCGCGAGCGTGAGAGAGCTCCGAGCGTCGGGATGACACAGCGCCGCCCGACCTGCGACCAGCACCACGGCGCGCGCGGGTTTCACTAGCGGCGGCGCGGGGCGGCGCGGCGGCCGACCGGCGCCAGCTGGCGCGCCTCCCCCACCCGCAGGCGGCGGCGCCGGCCGCTCGGCCCCGTCGCGTCGGTCGGTCCGTCGATCGAAGCGTGTGGCAGGCCCAGTCGGCGGGACGCCGACGGCGGTGGCGGCGTGCGTCGGCGAGGCGCCGCGCCAGCTGGGCCCGTCCAGGTGCGGTGCCGCCGGCGCAGCTTGACATTGACCTTGACTGGATACCGGCAGCGCCGTGCACAGCGGCACGGAGGCGGTAGGTATGCAGCCGGGTGCCGAACTCGCGCCGGCTATGTGTTTGTGCGAACTGAGCGGAGAGCAAATATCGGTCCGCCGATGACGAAAGGTGGCGCTCTTCTGGTGGCGTTTTTGTCGTCTGTCCGCCGCCCGTCACTCAACGGGGGAGAAATGGGATGGACTTGTCTTTTTTTATTTTTTTTTTTATTGTGAGCTCGACTGAAAATATTGCTCCTAAAATGCATTAGATCCCGCTAGCCCTCATCTCGGTCATAGTTTCATTCTTTGATTCCCTTTTTTTATTATATTGTCAGCAATGCTATATATTATAATAGGATAAAAGTAGCGACCCGCGCCGTCGTGTCCTCTCGTTCGTAGTGGTTATGGCGCAGTTGTGACAGTCGCGGCGCACCGAGCCCGTACTCCGGCCCAATGGTAAGGTCATGGTAATGCGTCTCGGCCGTCTGAAAATTTGAGGTCGACGCGACTGAGCGTGACGACCCAAACATCCGAGGCGCCCGACGTTCGTACGGGGTGGATGCCTTTCGATGTAGGTGGATATGCGTTTATATGTTGATTGTGTTTAGCACCTAAATATGATCGAAAAGGGATTGCTAAGCTAGGAAGCGCTACGGATTTCCGAACAGAATATACAGCATCCGTGACATAAAAAAAGAAACGTACGCAGTCTGCGCTTGCTCGATTCATAGGAAAATGTCAATGGCAGAGTGCTAAAATGTTTCACTGGGCAGCATTCATCCCCACATCAGACACAAACCCAAATACACTAGCGTCCGTTCACTCGGCGACCGTACACGTTCAGATATCAAACCATACTGAGCATCATAGCACCGTCTGCTCCGCGTGGTGACCATGATAAATAAACATGAGGTCATATACTGGACAAAGCGGGGTGGAACGGAGATCACACGCGACGTGAGTCAGTGCAGTCGAGTATAGCTTAGAGGTTATGGGCGGAGCGTAGTCCGGAGCATCTGCTTACGACCCTAGAAGTGTTGGAGCGTAAGATTTATGAAGTGAAGATGTATCTGTGTAGGTGTGTTTGGGTTTGTAATTACTCTATATTGGCAGTTATTCCACTTCGTAAGATTAAGCGCTATCTCTGGATGATATTAAACCATTTACGAAATTCTCATAAGGTGGCAAAGTGCTAAAATGAGCAGCATGATTGAATAGTATTGAGAAATAACCGTATGCTTCTCTATGATATTGTTAATTTAAGAACTGAAGAAGGAGCGTTTCCAAAATATATTCATTCATTCATTTTAGGCCAAGTTTAGACTTTAAAAGATAGTGAGCATACGGTTATTTCTCAATACTATAATTTTCGAAATTGAGTGAACATTTTGCTCGGTTTCTGGAAGGTTATGCATATTATCTATCTTCAACGTACGTACGGTTCTCCAGTAAAAGTCTTGTTGGTTTTGCTTTTTCGGACATATCTGGTCCTATATAATGTTCAAATGCATAAGTATCAACCCGAATTATGTGTATGCACATTTACCACGAGACTGTGAAATTGCATCGTTGTATGCCAACTACTTTTCGAGATATTCACCAAAAACCCCATTTTCTGCCGTTTGGGGTATTCTGGCCGCAGTCTTCCTGGGGTCGCCTATGACATCAGTAGAGCCATCTAACGAGAGGAACGCGTAAACACAGAATCATGAATGAATCGAGTGCGTAGTAAACGGTGTATGAAAGGGAGACTCGGCAGAGGCTATCTGGGTGGCCGGCGCGCGGCGCGCCCTCAGGCATCGGCCGACCCTTCGGACCGCGTGGGGTCAGAGGTCGCGCTCGGGAAGTCTCGGCTCTGGGTTTTAGCGCTGTGCAGTCAGGAAGGGAGCATAGGATAGCGCTAGCCCGACTGACTATAGTATCTCGGCTGATTCGTGTGGGGTGAAGGGAGCACAGAACGGGATGGTGGCTAGTGGTGGATGATGGGATGGTGGTTAGGTTAGTGCGTACTGCGTAGAACGTAGCTCAACACGCATTGTTTTTTATGGCAAACAACATGTAGCATAATGGGCGGGATTTATGCCAGAACTCATACAAAAGGAAATAATATTTCGGCCGAGGGAGTGGATGAGTGCCGTGACAAAGCATGGCGATGCTACCAAAATCGGGAAGTTTTTTGTCCCCATTTTTTTACCCCTAAAATGCAGCGCTTGATCCGAACTTAGAGGTCCCCGACTGACCTTAGACCTTAAAATCGCACCCGGCCGGTGCGCCACCTTTTCTTCAGGGGCGCTCTTCTTGGTTGTATCTGTTCTTACTAATAACTAAAGCAAATCGAATGTATAATAAAAAAGGCATACCTCAAACACAGTTTCATTCACATCCCCGCGTGTGCATACTGGTTTTGAACTATACCTTCTCGCATCATAATATATCACTTCAGTGCTTAATCCTCAACGGAATTTTGGGTTTTCTGCAAACACCCCGGCCGAGGGGGGGGGGGGGATTACGACCCCTCTCCGTCTTTTTGTCCCTAATTGAGCTAGCGCCTTGCGGATGAAACTGAGCGGGTGCGTCGTATGAGATGCAGCAACTGGTACCCGAGTTGAATGTCTCAGGTCAACCGATTAACTCTGAGGTCAGTAAGTACTGGCCAAGTCGCGGGATCGGTTTTTGGTAAACAACTTTACCATAAGTGGTTACAGAGCCAAGACAATGGCACCATCGAGTTTTGCATGCTCAAGCGTGTCGAATAGTATACGCTTTGTTTTTGTTGAGGTCAATTTAAGGTGTTCACCTCAGGTCATGTCAGGGCAGAGCCACTCAGGCCACGAGGCTGGTTCAAGGAGGTCATATCGCTTCTTCGATTCGGTAGGTCCTCACAAGTCCACTGGTGGCTTCACGACTCGCTGGCTCAATTTGATCGAGACTTTTTGGTGAAAACTCCTGTGACCTTAGTGACGTCATAAATGAAGTCGCCTAACTTTAAGAATGGAAAAGTGAATGCTGGGGCTTGCTAAGATTGTATAAAATCGCGAATTAATGCGCTTGAGACAGCTTTAGATGGCTCCCGGCGCCAAAATAACAGCTTTCATATTTCCCAATTGACTAATAATCGTGAGGTTGCGTGACTGACCTGACTTCAGGTGACTCTTAAGAAAAATACGAGATAGCTACATACAAGTTGTGAGGCCTCTGGGAGATAGTGCTATGTAGATCATATAAGCTTCATTCCCCGTTGAAAAGTCCCCTGGCACGAAGGGTGCTGCGACGTCGCGACATTTTGGGACCTTACAGAGGTTCACTTTTGACGTCATTGGTCAACGGCCTGACCTTAACCTTCGCACTTGTAGGAGGGTGTCGAACAGACCTCCTACCCTCAGTTTTTCGCAAATAACTCGCGCAAAAAGCGGCTGATTGCGACGAAACTTTCAGTACCCTCGAGTTAATCAATATTACGCCTACCCTATAATTTGTATGACCCTGGCTTAAAAGACCGTTGACTTGTGACCTATTTTCCGAGACCATGTTTGGCCGGAATCGCGTTTTGGCGTATTTCGAGTAGAGCGCGTTTTATTGTCTTTTTGTGGCTTTAAGCGATATAACATGTGAAAGGATGTTGATCCCATGGATTCTAGTGGGTTTCCAGGTCACGTGAAGGTCAGTCAGTTCACTGACCTTTAATGACCTCTGTTCACTCTTTCGAGTTCTACATTTTTCTGGGGTAGATTTTGAAGTTAATTTCGCATTTAGAAACCGTTTGAACATTTAAGAAGTAGTTTTGGTTCCCTCGTAACATGTGACCTGACCTGACCTGACCGGGCCTAAATGCACGAAAACATCATCTGTGATCAAAACTAACTTGAAATTCGTGATCAGCACCCCGCAAAACCCTATAACAGCTTCGCTTTACGAAGCTCTAACAGGTCCCGATTCCCCGACTTTTGAGTTGTTGAACTGTCAACTCAACTTTGTCAACTTAGACTTTTGACCTGTCAACCAATGACCTACGATCTTAAAATTGGGTATCATCGGCCTCCTCTCGTCACGGGCAACACGCACTTTTCCGCGAAGCTCTAGCTCGATCAGGGGTTGAACGGCAAAGGGGTCCAAAGGACCCTCCTCCCCCCTTACGCTGGCAAAACACCAACATGGGCGAGGGTGAAAATACAGCTGCTGTCATAGAAATTCAGCTTGAATCAAAGGTTTCAGCTTGAATCAAAGGCTTGCCAAATTTCAGCTCTCGCAGCTATCAACAAAAATAAATATGTGGAGGCGGCACCCGCCTCCCCCCCCCCTCGGCAACTGCCAGCGAGGTTTTAAGCGTATCATAGACGTTACAAAGCATCATATCAAGATGACACACCCCAGCAGCCATATGCACTGAACAAAAACTTATTACGCATGCTAGTCTATCGGCACCATAGCACATGGTCGAGACTGTCGTCAGCCACGGACGCGCACTCGACCAACCCTCTGAGCCCGTTGACTGCGGGTGACCTTGACATGTCAAGCCTGATCGGCGACCGACCGCTGTCGTGCGGTCGTTACACGCGGAGGGGAGGGAGACACAAAGCTCTACGTTATAGCCGACCTCTGACCTTTCCCTGCGCCCTGGTCACTGACCCCGTTCCATGTCGCTGGGCGGTGGCATGGCGGTGGAAACCGGTTCTAGCCTCTACACATGCCACCATTCTAACCCTCCCCTCCCCACGCTACTACGCGGCGTGGAGTACGCTCGTTCGTAACTGGGCGGAGCAAGGGGTCATGCGATACAGGGGCGGAACTGGTTGCCCTCCCGCCCGCCGAGCGACCAACGACTAATACCCTGGAGAACCGTACATATGTTCTCTGGTCAAGTATACTCCTTAGTAATTGTATGCCCAATTAAATGCTCAACACACACGGGAGGTGTATTGTATGAGTAAGAATGGATGAGGTTTAAAGTTAATGCGGGACGGTAAAGTGGCTCATCAGTCTGCCAGGACTTGGAGGCGACGTAAAGAGCATCGGCATTATTTTGGGGTTACGAACGGGTGGCCGGGGTCTTCACATGAATCCCATAGAGCTGTGGGATGTGGACAAGAAAGTATATCTGGGGAACGGGGCAGCGAAGGATCTACTCACTGAAACAGGGCATGGCACTGTGCCTGTTATTAGCAACTGCCAGTAGACACCCGTTGTCGACGATAGTCCATAGTCGAATCCTTCCTTCTCGGCCAGTATGGGATGTCCTTTAGAGTTCTGTTGTACCGGGCTTACCGACCCTACTAAGCCCGGGCTTACCGACCCCGGTAAGTTCGGTCACGGCCACCGACACCAATGTTGAGAATCGCTGCTGTCATGGCGGCTCTGTGGTGTGGAGAGCATGGCCCGCACCCGGGCACCGGCCGACTCCGACTGGGTGTTCCAGCGGCTATCGGCCACTTTATCTCAGGCGCTTCGAATGACTCTAAACGCTATTTTTCCATTTAGTGTTTGCTGTTTACCATATACCTACTTGACAGCAGCAATTGGTGGCAATGAACGCATGAGATTGACTACTGAGGTCAAATGACCTTACACATATGCTGTTATGATTGGTACATTTTTTTTTGTTTATTCAGTATTCACCCATGTGGTAAACGTTTTCGATTGCAACATTTTCTATGTTAAACATTTTCGGTCGCCAAGCAGTGTTCTGGAATGCCTTTTCCGCCGATGCCTAAGTAAACACAAACAATTCTTTCATGACCGCCACAGGATATTCTGCACTTGAATGCCGTTTCTTTTTAGTTAACAAATCAATTATACCGGTAAACCTGTCCTAATCGAGGAGCGCATCAGCAATAGCAAGTTTCCATCCAGACCATCCATTATCCAGCGTCCATGACATCTGATGTTAACGGATATCGTGCACTCAGTCCCCATATCGGCCTCCGTCTCGGGAGCCTCAGACACGTGCGGGGCCGATGGCCGCCGCGGGATTCGGGGCGCCCTCTCCGATCTCCGAGGCCCGTCTCGGCAGGCCGGCCGGTCGCGCCGCTGACGCAGCTCATTTGAATGAAGGATGCGTCCCGTCAGCGCTCTTCGAGATAGCGGCGGCCGCTGATCAGTGGTCCTCAACTTCGGGGAACTGGTACCTGGGCCAGGAGGCGCCGACCGGTACATAAAGCAACAACTGCCATTGAACATGTCGATATCATCCATCCTGATCATTCGATAGTCGTTTTTAAACATTGCCCAAAAGCTGACTGAAGTTTACTAGACATAAAACGGCTACGAATTGCATGAGGATTCGTTTTCACTCGATTTTAAGTTTCATATTTTATTGGTATACTACATAGAGATATTACTTTAACTTGATTAGCTTAAAGATTTGTGCTCGGGCTTCATATCATTTTGAACTTAACGCGGTCCCGATATTAGAAGCTGCCCGGCCATATATTTCTGGTTTTGATATTTACAGTTTTTTTTTTTGGGGGGGGGGGCCTTTCGGTCTGACAAGACATTTCAGAGCCGGGAGGATGATAAGAATTAGGGGGAACGTTGGTCTGGGCAGACACCCTAGCTAGTCACCGGGGCTGAGCCCGTCCCAATGGACAGGCCGACCAGCCCTACCCCATCCCCCAAGTACTCTCTGCAGTCTGCACCCGGTTACGGGTGTGCTCCCTCGGGAGCAGCGGTGGTCGGTGCCGTTCTAAGGGAGCCTGTGTACCTATTACGAGTACGTACCTATGTTGATGTGTCATGACTAGGTATCGGACTTCTTAGATTGAAATAACGCCGCGTTTTCTTTTTGCACATTTTTTAAATTGATCATCAGCTTTAGCATATATGTATATCTCCCCTACGTCGATTTTCCCAGTACCAGGGCTGCGGAGTCAAAGTCGGAGTAGGAGTCGCATTCAACAAAAATTCATCGACCCTGCAGCCCTGCCTTGCAAGACAGCAGCAGAACATGTGCTGCCACCTGTCGGACGTGCTGCGCCTGTTCTGCTTTTCGTACCCAGGTGGCGCTTAAGTCTACCTTTCATGTCAGCCAGGTCGTCGAGTGATGACTACGTTTGTGGATATTCAGCATTTGTGAGTGATAGGTGCAGCGTATAATGGATTGTCAAAATATTTTAGAATGATAAGTATAATGAAATCCCATCCATGAGCAAGATGGTGCCAACGCGTCTTCGAAGGCGTCATTCGTATCGATGTCATGGCCATGGGGTCGCAGAAACCGGTGCATGATCAGTGTGCTCAGTGCTTACTGGATCCTTGGGTGTTATGAAATAAAGGAGCGTACAGAGATCGGCCATGGTGCTTATTTATTTCCTTTGCGGAGCGATGTATCTAGCTTTAACTGTTGTCTGGTGATAGCTAAGGCAGCAATGGCCACTTGTCGATGCAGCTTGCAAGTTTCCCCTCATCGTGATCCTTTGCTGTATTCATATTATAATTCATACCGTCGCTCTTTCTTAACACTTCGTAAACATTTTAACCTAGAGTATTGCAGTGCCTGGTTCTATATTTACAATGCATACGAAGATCTCAGAAATACAGCGTGACACAGACACACATACGCACATATAACAACGGATACTTGCGCCTTCGTGGACTGGCTGCGCTTTCTGCCACGAAGGTCCTTCGCAGTATCAAACAAAGTACGACCTCGCACGCGGAACGACTCCCCAGCGTAGGAACCCAGCGCCACGGCTAACACACGGATAATGTCTGGCTACATTGGATAGGACATCGAATACATCACACACACGCGGAACGTGAGACGCCGGAGTGTCACCATGTCGACTAAGGGCAGCGATACATCCCACTGTGGAGTGGCTAGATCTCTCACAGGACGGCGCACGGAGGGCGCACACAGTTTATTCACACACCTATATGAGTTCTTCAACGTGACATCCTTTGTCCACAGAGTCTCCGGCCACACTGCTCGCGGCCCTCGTCAGGAGAGGGATTCGGCAGTGTCTGGCGTCAGTGAGGTCTCTTGCTATAGTTGCTCGGAGTAGTAGCGGACGCTCGAGGTAGGAGATCTCTCCTCAATGGTGGTGCCGTCAAACATCATACGGATCTGCTGCCGGTGCTTGGCGTCCTTCCCCTTCTGCATCACTCGATGGCTCGTGAACCGGCTGGTGGGAATGGCCAGGGCCTTCTGGCTGAGCCCGGAAAGCTCCAGGAACTTTTCATAGTTGCCGTTGATGACGACTTTGGAGTCGTTCTGCTCGGACTCAGCGCCATCTCCTGCGCGGCGGTCGAAGCTGTGCTTCTCGTCGTTGCCGTTGTCGGCGCTGCGCTCGCTGGCCGTCTCCGAGCAGACGCTACTCGCCATGTCGTCATCAAACTTGAACTCCTCGAAGTTGTCCTTGATCTGGACGCCCTCACTCTCGCTCATGATGAGGTTGATGTTTGACCGGGACCGCGGCACGTTGCGGTAGTTTCTGTTCTGCACATCGTCATTATCCAGACTCTCCTTTCCACTTTTCGTCTCCACCTTTCCACGCATTCCACTACCGTCTTTCGGACTGTCTTCTTTGTCGGCATCTTGTCCGAGCGTCTCTACACGGACATTCTCATACTCTGGTTCGCTAAGCTCGTCGCGGGCCGACTCGTTGCCCTCGGGGATCACAGACAGCTTCTTGGGGACGAGTGTGGGCCGGCGCACCACGGGCCACTCGAGGTCGGCGCCCAGCAGCTGGCTGATGGTCTCCACAATGGACGGCTGGCCGCCGTACGTCGTGCCGTTGATGCTGACACTGGGCGGCGAGATGATGCACGGCTGAAGGAGGGCTGTCGGCGGTGGACGGGGGCGCGGCTGCACGGGCCGCACGGGCCGCGCCGGCCGCCGGGACACCGTCTCTGGCACGTTCTCCTTGTCCTGTAGAGAGAATGTCACCGTCTTGTGCATCGCCGGCCGCGGCTCGCCCGGGGTCCGGATGATACCCCGCTCGGCTGGTGGGGAGCCGCCGGCGCTCTTCGGGGTGGCAGGGGAGACGGACGCGGCGGGGGCGACCTTCGGAGAAGGAGCAGCAGTCGGTGTGGTGGGGGTGACGGGCGCGACTTTGGCCACCGGCGAGACTGGCGCCGCCACGGGTGTGAGCTCTGTGGGGCACACCTCTGTGACGGTCTCGGAGAGTTCGGCACGGCGCGCCACCTTGGCGGCCACCTCCTCGCCCTCGTCACAGTCGCTGATGCCGCTGTCGGGCTTCGCGCCGCAGCGCGCGCACGGCTGCGACAGCCGGTGCACCTTGGTGAGCAGGCGCCGGTTGGCGCGCCGCTGCCGCTCCAGCTCGCGCGCCTGCTGCTGCGCGCGCTGCTCCTGGTCGGTCAGCCGCGCCGTGATCTGCTTCTGCTCTCTCTGCATGCGACTCTGCAGCACGGTGAGCTGCTGCAGGATCCGCTGGAACTGACGCTCCTTGAGCGCCTCAGAGCGCTCCGTCTCGGCCTGTCGCTCACGCAGTTTGGCGGCGCAGGCGGTCACCAGCTGCCGGCTGCGCGCCTCCTGTAGCTGCAGGTGCTGCCGGGTGCGCTTCAACGCGCGCTGCGCCTGCTGCAGCTGCTGCCGGAGCGCCGCCGAACTGCTGACCGAGGGGACGGCCGACGACGCCGTCATCTGGAGAGGGAGAAGGCCGTGTCAGAGGGCTCGATAACACGCCGTGAACGGTACAGGGCTGGTGAGGGGGCACACAGACGGGGTAGACGCACTGTCACTGACGACACTAAGGTGCACAGCACTGCGGTTACATTTGAACGTCTACACAGCCGATCGTGCGGACGTGATCAGCGCCAAATCCTTCCTCAATGTCACACGACATGACGCTCATACAGCGAACGGAATACGAGATGGACGTTCACCCGTCCAGCCCGCGCCCGTTTTTGGTGATCCGCTAGCAGCCAAACGACTTCTGCACCGCAGCGGGGCCGATTGGGCTCCGCAGGATGTCAGACTCGGGGACACTCCTCACGATGACAGGTGGATAGCCGATGCACGAACAATGGCAGGCATTAGCATCGAGCCGGCGTCTGTATTTGGCCCGTGCAGCAACCCGAGCCACTGTTTGCAACAGGTCAAGACTGTCAATTGCAACCGAGCCGAATCACTGTTCAAAGTCGCTCGTCTCTTCGCCTGAACGCCAAATTAAGAACTCTCGAATATGTGATTATTATAAGGATAAGCGAAACCTGTTGTTTGGTCCCATCCTTCAACTTCTTCGCATTATATATCTCCCATCGGCCATAAAAAACCTGCAAATTCAAGAACCGCGATAATGGCTGAGTCAGCGCACATATATCCGCTGTAGCCTCGTGTCCGGGAATGCGCCACCCTGCACAGACCTGTGGTGGGGGAGGGGAGAGGAGGGCGGAGGGAGGGGTGAACGCTGGCATTTCCCCCACGGTGTGCGCCGCGCCGCTCCACCGCACGACAGCGGGATGTGGTTGGCGGATAAAGATTCCCGGCTAAGATAACAGAGGTCAACTCAGTATAACGGAGCGTACCCGCCCTATGAACAGAGACTCACGTCCCTAAGTATGAATAGCGAACCGGCTTTCACTTTTTATTTTTGTATTCGATCGGTTTGACACTTCCTGAAGCGGGCTTATGACGAGGATGTGTTGCGGTGTGCGGTTGGAGATATAATCCATGTAAATGGCGTCTGCCGTCTCCAAGACACCGTCAGTGTAAGTGTCCGACCGTCAGGCTCGTGCAAGACCTGCCAACAGGGCTCCCACAGTCCCTCGCCTGCCACGATTTAGTCCCAGCCTATAACATCAAGATTTACCATCACGCCAAGTCATAAAATTATCGCTACACAAGACGTTCGTGTCACAGAATTTGACAGCGTCGCATCGCATCATACAGAAGTACACAAGGAAAACTTACTGCCGACCCGTCTTTTTTCCAGGTGTTACCTATTTAGGTTACTCAGACCGGTATACCACAAAAAGTGGCAGTCATGATCACAATGGCCACAACCACAACTAAGCTCCTGGGAAACTACCACGTGGGCAATTAACCCAAACAATGTGAGCTAATTCGCGGCCGCATTTGTCCGAAATTGCCAGCGAGTCTTGGAGCCTTGTGTGGAGCGACCTGCACGTCCTTGCATGACCACAATCGCAAAACGAGACCAATAAAACGGGCCGTGGCGCCCGCCTGCGCCGGATCGGGTGACGGTCAGGGGCGCCAAGTCAGACCAGCCCCATACCGTACAACACTCTGCACCATACCGTCCATACCGTAAGCCATACCGTGAACCATTCCGTGAGCCATGCCGTGAACTGCGCACGTGATTTGACTGCGCCTGTAGGTATACCATGAAGTTGGCGGCGGCTGAGCCCAGCAAGTCGGCCGATTATCCGTGCACGGCCCCCGTCCAAAGTCGGCTGAACGGCAGCCGTAAAAGGCAGCCGGCGTGGTGGTACACGACCGCCCGCCGTGGGGGAGGGGCACCTGGGGGTCGACCGGTACCCCGGGAGGGGATTGTGGCAGACCGAGAACGAGAGGGATGGATTTGACTTATTTCGTAAGCCATCAGTTTTGGTGATTTTCCCATGAGAGAAATTGAGACTTTGAATATTTATTCTCCCTTGCCCTAAGCGAACGGCGCGGTTGATGTGTCCAGATATTGGGTTTCATACCAATTATTTTCAAATTTATTGACAGCCCAAATGGCCTGTTACCGCCACTGCCCTGTCCGCGCCGGTAAGCCTCGTCCCTGTTTCCGCCCCTGGCCGCCTGGCCGATGGTCTGCCGGTGTAACCGCCCCTGGCCGGTCCTCCGGTAGTGTGCCGCTGGTACCGCCCCTGCCCACAGGTGTGGTCGCTGACTGACCGCGGCCGACCGGCCGGTGCCGCTGCCGCCACTGACCGACCGGTGCCGCTCCGCCGGCCGCTGCTGTCCGCCGATCGGTCCCTGGTACGGCCGTGCACGTGCTGCTGCAGACGGTGTGACCGGGTCGCTCGGACGCGCCCCACTGCTGGTCCGCCACTACAGCGATGGTTCATGGTAGCACTGCGACTGGGGCGGGTTCATAACACCATCTTCTCATCAGGATCTAGACTTTCGTTTAGGCTCCGATCATCAGCTGACTGGCTGAGAACCATTACAGTGGTCGATGGGAGGCTCGGTTCAATCCGTTACTTCTACTCCTCTGTCTTTCAGCTGTATCTCAGCTTTCAAAAGCCATCTTCTGCTCATTTCCCGTTCCTGCTCAGTTCGCTTAGCTCTTAATCATCAAGCTCACTTTTAGCTCGGCGGAACTGTTCCTCCTCGATCGACCGGTGCTGGCAGCCAACTTATCTGCCATCAGCCGGCTTCCCGATCAACTCTCCCCTGCAAAATTGCTAGCGAGCTGAGCCCCTCTTCCCCTCTGACGGTAGCGTCCAAATAATGTGCCCTTCTGAGAACTACCTGTCGCCACATGAACATCAGACACGTCCTCCAGCCTTCGCTGTAGTCTCCACACCCCACGAATTACCCTCCCCCTCCCCCGAGACTCTGGTAATCAGAGGAGTGTAGTTAGCACTGGGTCCGTCTGTCGATCGGTAGGTAACAAAGGCCGGTGCCACTGCCAAGGCCGTCGGCGGCCGCGGAGACCGACCCCGGCTGCAGAAGAGCCGCCCCGGCGCGGCGCGGGCGGCAAGGCCCATACTCGGAACGAGTCTGCAACCGGCGCCGCCGCTTATCGAGACTTCTTTGTTGGCAGTAAATGTGGTGGAAGTCGCACGTTTTATGGCTCACTCTGTGAACGACCGCAGTGGGTACTTTGATGAAGGGTAAAGTGGAAACGATTAGGAATGATGGTGCTGTTTCTCGACTGTGATCTTTTCTGGTACCTATTCGCTCTCACGACATCATTTCCCTGCTGTTAGTAGTTGTGGTTGAAATTGTTCTGGCTTAGTGCACTGTCCGTGATATAAAGGGAATCACCTGAGGTTGGCCAACCGCAAAAGATACCATGATATACCTACATCATCATTAAAAACACATGCAATCCAACATTATGTCTCTAATCTCCAAATGACACAGGGATCAGCAATTTGATTTCCTGTACGCTCTCCGTGGGAAGGATCGCTCCGCCACTATGACGATAGCTTCTTAATCCCCTAGTTTCATCACTTTGGAAGGTTTGTTTTCTGTGACAGTGCATTTGCAGTCACAGTCGGACGACAGTGCGATCTGCCACTGCTGCCGTCACACACCTGTTTTCCGTCACGTCACATCCGCCCAGTCACGTGTCCTCTCCACCCGCGTCACGGCTGCACCGCGACCATGAACGGCCCGGCCCGGACGTCACCGATAGCGTCCCTCCAGTGCGCAAATGTGGCCACCGCATCACGTGATTATCCGCCCGATAGGGCACGATTGGAGCCGGGTACTGCACGTGAAGGGCCGGCCCCGTGGACGACCTTGGAGGGAGTGTGACCGGGCGCCGCCGTGACCGTCTCCGCTGACCGCTGCGCTCACGGACGGGCCGTGGGACCGAGCACGGCCCGCTGACCAGAGTGTGGCGCTGCAGCACGGCCAGCCTTCACGACTGACGGCACATTCAAGTGCCGTGTGAAGCGCGGCCGTGCCGTACCGCCCGCGTGGGGACGTGTCAATGTGATGCGTCACAGTATCCACCTGTCACGCGAGTCCATCGCCCCGTCTTCAATAAACGCGTGGTGTCGTGTGAGGGAGCCACACGCGCGAGTCACGCTGGGCTCTGACCTCCTGCCGCTCCTGTCACGAGCGTTACGGTACCGTCACGAGGTCACGTCTACCGGCGATAGTGCGTGCTGCGCGGGGCCCGGCCGTGATAAGGGCGTGTGCGTGGCGCCGGACGGGCAGATAGACACGGCCCGGCTCTCCGGCGACCAGTGAAAGTTAGCGGGTTACTGGGTCATGTCTCGGCCCGCACTGTCCGGCCGAGACACGACCCGGCCCGCCCCTCGGCCGCGCCGCGCCCACCCGCTCGACAGACGACGGTGAAAAAATACGCCCGAAACTATTACCAGTAAAACGCCTTTTGGGCGACCAACGGAGCGAGCGAGAGGATGGGCCTTGCACGTGCGAAATTGCGAGGGGGTACCTCCAACTAACTTGTGCACTGCACCCTACTAACCGGTCTTTAGCGATGTGCCGAATTTCAGCGCAATCGGCCTAGCCGTTCTCGAGATCTGGAAGCGGCACACTGCACGTGCGCACGTGCAAGCGGGGTCCAAACTGACTTTTGCACGGCACCCTACTAACTGGTCCCCAACCGTGTACCAAATTTGAGCGCAATCGGCCCAGCCGTTCTCGAGATCTGGGAGCGCCCCCTGCACGTGCGCACGTGCTATAGCACCCCAACCTTAACACATGCAGATGAATTATCTGATGGAGACCTAACTGTGTACCGAGTTTCAATTCAATCGGCCCAACCGTTGTGCCGTTATTGAGGTTGCAATTTTGGGGGTTCTTAAAAAATGTCCAACTTTACCACGCGCCACGTGCGGTGGTTGGCAAGAACGCATGGTGGCCATCACACCACAGAACTTTTACGTCCAAGTGACATTCAGTAAAGAAGACCGCTTGTCAATCGGATGTCACGTTCCTAAGATATTAGCTTTTGAAGAGCGTCCCCACGG